ATTAAGGGGAACTGGGTGTGTGACTAAGGAATTTGCTTTGGCTGGGTTGGCAATTATGGGTCTACAAGGTCTTGCCAGGGCTACAAAGGAGCCAACTTTATTTATTTATTTATTTTAATTTTTATTTATTACAGCATCTCATAGCACAGTGAGAACACCGGCCAATACAAAGAGAGATGGTGTTAGCCAACCACGGCAAGGAAGGGAGAAGGGGAGGAGAAGAAAAAAAAAGAAACTTTGAGCGAAATTGGAAATTTGGTTATGTCCGGTGATACATGGTCATTACAGACCTTGACTTTTATAGTGACATTACAGTTTTCGTGGATACTGAAATGATATCAATGCATTATTAAATACAGCCAGTTGCGCATTCAATGAGCACCACTCGCACAGGTTAGGTATCCTTGCACCTTTCCTGTTCAACAACATTCAAGGTTCAAGGTTCAAGGATTAATCAATGTTCAAGGATACCTTACCTGTGGAAATGGTGTGTGTATTAATAAATGCGCAGCTTGATTTCCTTATTGCGTTGATTATAATCATTTGATCACTTAGAGTCTGGGAAATTCAACATTCACCCCCCTCTCTCTCTCTCTCTCTCTCTCTCTCTCTCTCTCTCTCTCTCTCTCTCTCTCTCTCTCTCTCTCTCTCTCTCTCTCTCTCTCTCTCTCTCTCTCTCTCTCTCTCTCTCTCTCTCTCTCTCTCTCTCTCTCTCTCTCTCTCTCTCTCTCTCTCTCTCTCTCTCTCTCTCTCTCTCTCTCTCTCTCTCTCTCTCTCTCTCTCTCTCTCTCTCTCTCTCTCTCTCTCTCTCTCTCTCTCTCTGTGTTCTGGCTATGCAGCCTACAGGCTCATGCATGTCCTATGTTACACAATACAGTAATGTGGAAGAGAAAACACATGGGGAAAGAGTTATGAAGCAACTGTCCGAGTAAAATAAAACAAGATTCAATAATTGATAATGTAGAGCTGACTCAGGGTTTGATAGGAAACAAACTGTTCTCATTTTCATTTTCCTTGCTGCTGCTGCGTGTCTGCCAGTTAGAAATTTGGTTTCGGGTACAATTTATTCATTGTGGGCGGTGAATTGGTTAGGGATGATCAACACTGTGCAAATTGACAAGGAGTACTGAGACATTCCACGGCATGAAAATCAGCTTGAGCACTGCTCGACAATGCTAACCAACAGCCTTCCAACATGGCCAGCATTCCATGAAGCCTTGGAATGTAGCCTGTGCTCGACTCGCTGGCGCTCGAGATCGCCTCCCCCTCTTTGGAATTAGCTCTGATATCCATGATACCTTCCAAGTTGGAAGGCCGTTGGTTACCGCTATCGAGCAGTGCTGAAGCTGACTTTCATGCCGTGGAATGTCTCAGTACTCCTTGTCAGTTTTGTGCTAGATTGTGCACGTCTGACTGTTCAAAACTGGTTTAGTTGATGGACTCGATCACATAATTTGTGCCCACAGTTTTCAATGTTACAATGTTTCCTTGGCCCACCGTCTGAGTTCTTTTAAAATGTATATTTTAATTCAATTTAGTTGAATCGCAGTGAAGAGATCATTTTTGGAGTTTGGAGTTGAGAAGTGAAGTTTGCTAAAAAGAAAGAAATGAAAAATCCAATTCCCTCGACCCAACGAGTAAAATTGAAAAGGCGAACAATGAAAAGTATCACCCAGAGTTCCTGCATGTTATAACGACCAACTTGTCAATGACCGTTCCCATTTTGGGTAAGGTAAAAAGGCTACAGCCATCTGTTAGAAGTACTTAACTCAGTTCCCATGTCTTTGAAAGTAATTAGCCTAAAAGTGATAATATCATGATTTGCACCTATTTAGCACGCTGCTGGAAGTTTTGTATGTTCTCTTGTATTTTTTATTCTGTTGAAAACAGACATAGGTTTCCCTGACAACTACGATCGATCTGCTTTTGACCTTGAACCCCGTACTGCTACTTTCAAATGCAAACCCGACTACTTTGAACAGTGTTCTACTCCGCCATGTGCTGGAGGGAGATGGAATGAAGCAGCTACCTTCAGTGGAACAACCCCAAAATGGGATAATCTCCCAAGCTGCATGCGGCTCAGTAAGACACATTGTCCGCCATTGGCCTTGATTTTGTGTTTTTTCTTCTTCTTTTCCGCATGGTGAATTGATTTAGGTCACTGTAGCAATGATAATTGTTTGAAGATTTAGAGACCGGCAGCCTGACTTGTAGCAGCTTGGTTTCACTTATGTCTCCTTATGACAAGGCACAGCATGCAGACATACTGAACCTGTGTAAGAAATCTCCTAGGCTGTTTGATTTGGGGTGAAACGTCTGAGTGTATAAGGGGTCGTTGCAAAGGTTTTTTTTGTTGTCCCTGAAACAAACACCTTCATTTTGCAGTGGGACCCCCTCCCCTCCCTCTGAAATGTACGCAGCTTGCTCTGCGGGACGACGAAAATCGCAGGCATGCACATGCACATATGCACAGTGTCGATCAACTTGCAATTTTGGCTCGCACCCCCTCCCCTTCCCCCCCCCCCCCCAAATGTATGATGTTCATTTCAGGACGACAAAAAAATACTTTTGCAACGATCCTTAAGTTGACTGGCCAGTCGAAAAGGACGAATCGAGTGAAGAAAAACCCTTATCAACTCGTACACATTGACAAAAAAAATTATCGTAAATGCCCATAGAAATACATGAAATTCATGCACTGGTCCTGCGAGTTCAGGCCATGCACTGGTCCTGCGAGTTCAGGCCATGCACTGGTCCTGCGAGTTCAGGCCATGCACTGGTCCTGCGAGTTCAGGCCATGCACTGGTCATGCGAGTTCAGGCCATGCACTGGTCCTGCGAGTTCTGGCCATGCACTGGTTCTGCGAGTTCAGGCCATGCACTGGTCCTGCGAGTTCAAGCCATGCACTAGTCCTGCGAGTTCAGGCCATGCACTGGTCCTGCGAGTTCAGGCCATGCACTGGTCCTGCGAATTCAGGCCATGCACTGGTCCTGCGAGTTCAGGCCATGCACTGGTTCTGCGAGTTCAGGCCATGCACTGGTCCTGCGAGTTCAGGCCATGCACTGGTCCTGCGAGTTCAGGCCATGCACTGGTCCTGCGAGTTCAGGCCATGCACTGGTCCTGCGATTTCAGGCCATGGACTGGTCCTGCGAGTTCAGGCCATGCACTGGTCCTGCGAGTTCAGGCCATGCACTGGTCCTGCGAGTTCAGGCCATACACTGGTCCTGCGAGTTCAGGCCATGGACTGGTCCTGCGAGTTTAGGCCATGCACTGGTCCTGCGAGTTCAGGCCATGCACTAGGAAGTACACTTGCCACATGAATCCATTTCGCTTGCACGCCCATGTGGCCGAGTATGAAAATGCTGCATAGCACACACACGCACACACACACACACACACACACACACACACACACACCACGCTGGTCAGTTTGAACGGTGTACATGTAAGCCGACCATGTGCTCCCCAATCACCGCCGCACTCGCCACTGTGTTTATGTTGCTATTGCATGCGTGGGCAAACATGCATGTGTATCTAGATACATCTATCTAACTTACATGTACCATATTAGGATTCACCCTCCCTTTCTCGTATTGGCTACATTATTATTATGTGCCATGAAGTGGAGGCGATAAATAAATAAAATAAATAAATTTTGAATAGGCGTCGAGGCGACAATAGTTGTAGAATTGCGATCAACAGAACGAGCGGAACCGACATTTCACAAAGGCTTTTATTGTATTCAAAAAAGCCTTTGTGAAATGTCGGTTCAGCTCATTCTGTTGATCGCAATTCTAAAATAAATTTTATATCCGGATTTAAAAAAAAAACCCATTTGCTGCCTCTGTGTCCATTGACTGCATCCATGTTTCCCTCGTGCCAGGTCAGGTGTTTCCAATTTACTTTGTTTGTCTCTGCTGCACGGCTGGAAAAAATCCTTTCACTGCCAAGCAGGTTTTAACCCTTTGCACCCTCTGTTTGTCAATTCCGGTCTTTGAGCATCCAACCATGCCTCCATTGTGACGTTAGCAATAATACTTGCGGCCATGTGTGTGTGTGTGTGCACGTGTGTGCTTGTTTGTATGTGCACGTGTGTACTAGTGTGCACGTGTGTGTGTGTGTGTGTGTGTGTGCCGGTGCGTGTGTGTGTATATGTGCACGCACGCACTTGTGTGTGTGTGTGTGTGTGTGAGAGAGAGAGAGAGAGAGGGAGTGTGTGTGTGTGTGTGTGTGTGTGTGTGTGTGTGTGTGTGTGTGTGGGTGTGTGTGGGTGTGTGTGGGTGTGTGTGGGTGTGTGTGTGTGTGTGTGTGAGAGAGAGAGAGAGAGAGAGGGAGTGTGTGTGTGTGTGTGTGTGCTTCGGCGGCACAAATGCAGGGAAGAGCGACTGAAGCCGATCCATGAACAGGCCGGTGCTGTGTTGTGCGAAACGTGCCATCGTTGGTTTGCTAGCCGAGGTGGATTTGCTGTGCACAGCTGCTCTCCCAGTCTTGGTGACGCTCTAGTTCCAGAGATTGTTGCACCTCGCCCACCTGATTGCAGCCAATGTCATTACCACTGCCACACCTGTGACCGCTGTTTCCGGAGCAAAGCTGGGCACCGCCGGCACAACTGCAACTGCAACCGCAGAACATGCAGCTCTGGATCCGAGCGCCGCACCATCCCATGCCCGACCTGCTCTCGGAAGTTCACACGTCTCCAGTACCTGGCTCAACACAAATGCAAGAAGTAACTCTGCCCTCCTTGCCTCTTTGAGGCACTGCATCACCTTTAGGTGGCAGTTTCAAGGTTTCAAGGTGTGTGTGTGTGTGTGTGTGTGTGTGTGTGTGTGTGTGTGTGTGTGTGTGTGTGTGTGTGGTGTGTGTGTGTGTGTGTGTGTGTGTGTGTGTGTGGGTGTGTGTGGGTGTGTGTGGGTGGGTGTGGGTGTGTGCCTGCATATATGGGTGTGTATTACATACCTCTTGTTCCAAAACAGATTCTGTCGAATGCCTGAAATCTCGGTTCCAGTTTACATGGTCCAGCACTACTTATGATCGCGCTGCCATGGCGTGTGACTCCATAGGCCAGGCTCTTGTCAATGAACGACTCTTTGAAAAGGAGTACAGTTTACATAAGGAATGTCTGCACCAGACATTGAATGGTGCTACTCTTTGGGTCAGAAGCCCCAATGGACCCCTGGAGTACAAGTTTGGAAGAGACTCCATGCCAATACCTTTGCCAAATACTACGTCTGAGCAGACGCGCGTCTTCCTATGCATGCCAGGTGCGTATTGGGTACAGGCTCTTTGAATTTGCTTGTGCAGAGCAAGAGCACTGGGCTTGGGTATATCCTTACCTGCATGCTTTGTACAAACACACACACATACACGTGTATTAATTTTGTATTTGTATTTATGGATTCTCCACAGGCCTTAGCCTAAGTCGAGGGAGTCTCCGTCAACAGCTTATGAAGAAGAAGCTGAGGAGAAAATAAAAATAGGAGATAGAATGATGCGGGGTGGTAGTAATATAACACAGTGCACTTTGACACTACTACTACTACTGCTACTACTACCACCACCACCCCCACCGCCGCCACCACCACCACCACCACCACCACCACCACCCCCCCCCCCCACCACCACCACCACCCCCACCGCCGCCACCACCACCACCACCACCACCACCACCACCACCCCCCCCCCCCACCACCACCACCACCACCACCACCACCACCACCACCACCCCCACCGCCGCCACCACCACCACCACCACCACCACCACCACCACCACCACCACCCCCCCCCACCACCACCACCACCACCACCACCACCACCACCACCACCACCACCACCACCACCACCACCACCACCACCACCACCACCACCACCGCCGCCGCCGCCGCCGCCGCCGCCGCCGCCGCCGCCGCCGCCGCCGCCGCCGCCGCCGCCGCCGCCGCCGCCGCCACCGCCACCGCCACCGCCCTCGGCCTCTTCTTGGCCTGTGGCATTGCTCCAGGGTGCTTGTGAGTCTTGGCTCAGGTATTGCATGATCTCCTTGTTCAGGTACAGCAGCCTTGTATCACTGATACCACCTGGTGGCAAGGTTGTGGGCAGGCCGCTTGCAGCGACAGCAGCAGAGTTGGTCGACAAGCGCATGTGCCTTATCTCAACCTCATCTGCTTGACAGTTCTTCTTCATGCAAACGACACCAGGAGATTCCCGTGCACGCAGACGCTCACAGCGTGCGCAAACATCATATCTCTGCTTCATGATGCATATATCTGGAGTATTAGCTTTCCAAAGCTGTTTGAACGTGGTCAGACTAATAGGATGCGCACCTTCAGAATCACAGTATAGACAATGAATTTCTTTCTTTGTACAACTAGCAGGAAGATATGTGGGCGCCTTTGCTGCGCGTCCCCTGGGTGCTGCTGGTTGTGGCATTCCATAACGAGATGCATAGTTTTTGATAAACTGCACAACATTGTCAGCCACTGCAGTAGGTAAGATGTTGGGTGGGGGTTTTCCCTTACTCTTGCTGCTCTGTGGCGTTGTAAGTAGATGTTCAGCGTCTTCTTGTAAATTACGTAGTAGAGTATGCGACAATCCATGTGCACCTTGGAACACTTCATGGCAGACGACAACACGAAGCATTGGACATGTGAACGAAAATTTGCGAGAACTTGCAGTTGCAGCTCCAGCGCTGGGGCTAGATATTTTCATTATCGCTGCAAGTTCGCCCAGCACGTACCGCTTCAGCTCACTCCTCTTCATTGCTCTCAAGTTACATACCAGTTCCTCGAGCCGGTCCGGAGGTAGCTTGGTCCAATGATTCACTTTCCATTTGCAACCGATGTCCAGTGCGTCGCGTATCATCGCCGCTGCCGCTCCACTTGCTGCACTCGTTCCATCGCTAGTGGTATTCTCTGCATCGCTGAAATGCTCAACATCGCTGCTCTGCGACTCCAGCGGTAAACAGGTCCGTTTTTCTGCAGGTGTGTCCGAATCTGACTCGTCTGAGCCAGACGATTCGGCGATCGTATCACTGCTGTTTAGGCCGTAAAAACTTTCGTTATGTTCCCGTAGCGCAGCGAGGTCGTCAACGCTCGCACCGCAAATTTCTAGGCCTCGTCTTCTACTCGTGCATGCCATGACACTCTGTGGCTTCTTTACTTTCAGTACGCGTTTTGCATGCACTCGCACTTGTTGAAAGATGAAGTTGTGCCACTTGATACCTTGTCAAGATGAAAACAAATAATCTTGAAGCGATCCTCATCAAGGAGACAACTCGTAAAAAGTACAAAATCACCGCAACTCAAAAAGATATTTTTCAAATCCGAACTTCAAACTCCCATTCTGAACAATTTCCGTAACTTCCTTTAGTACCTTTTTTGCTGGCCGCGGCTCATTAATCTTGATTGTTTGTTTTTCTCAATGTTGTTTTCTCCCTGCAGTTGAACTAATGAGCAATAATGATCACTGCGACGATAATACGTATGAACCCTTGGCAGTTGCCCTTCTAACAGAAGGTATGTTTTCCCTACTGGCTCAACTGGACTTCATTTCTAACAATCTCTTCTTTTTATTTCTTCTTTCATATCACTACAAGGTTTCGTTGCATTTTCTCCATCTGTGCAAACCCGTGGCATCTAGACTGACAACATGGCTGTAAATTCTTGCACCAGCTTTCAGGTGTAAAACCCTGTTGTAGAGGTATAAGTCCTCATTTGTTACACTTAACTGTCTTTAAAAAACGCGACTTTCTCTCTCGCTTCCTGTGTGTCTGTGTGCCTCTGTCTGTGTGCCTGTCTGTGTCTGTCTGTTTGTCTATGCATCTGTCTGAACGTCGGCTTGTCTGTCTGACTGTCTGTGTGTGTCTGTCTGTCTGTCTGTCTGTCTGTCTGTCTGCCTGCCTGCCTGTCTGTCTGCCTGCCTGCCTGCCTGGCTGCCTGCCTGCCTGCCTGGCTGCCTGCCTGCCTGCCTGCCTGCCTGTCTGTCTGTCTGTCTGTGTCTATCTCTGTCTCTGTCTCTGTCCCTGTCCCTGTCTCTGTCTAAATCTGATTCTCTGTTTCTCTGTCTGCTTGAACGTCTTTGTTTCTCTCTCTTTCTTTCTCTTTGGTACTACCAGCAAAGGATATCTGTTCTCTGCGACGAGGAGAACTGGTGAAGGAAAATTCCTTCTTCTCAACACGCTGTCTTATTCTTTTCCGTTTGAGGACAGGTCGTCAAGATCCCTATGTTTGTCACATTCCAAGATGTGAGTGGGAACCTATTCATTACTGCATCAACTAGTCACAAAGCACAGCCCTTTACTAATAATGATTTTGGATGTCAAAGCAGCAATTATTTAATAACAGCTTTAGTTCAAGCACTCAAAAGTCATTTACACATACGATTCCCTTGCACAACCTGGTCAAGCTCCAACATCGTACTTGAAATAGCTAAACCTTTCTCTTTAAAGAAACATAATTCTTGTAAGTAAAATGGAGATAGTGTGATGTGGAGAAGTCCTAGAAGCGCACCAGGCTGTTCGGCTGCCCTGCAGTGAGCAGGATAGTCTTACTTCTGACCAAATCATTTGGACACATTTACATGGGAGATAATTGCATTCTTGTTATGGTATGGGTGTTTTGCTTTGCAATGTTGGCAGGTGACGTTGTTGAATGTCTTTCATGTCTGTTGGTTCGTGATGAAAATCATGTGACGAGTCATGACAGCAGGGTTAGACAGAGTGGCATGCATGTAATGTTGTGAACCAGTGGTTGGGGGATTGTGGTGAGAGAAAGAGATTGACCCAGGCGTGACTCACAGCAACACGCAACGTAATAGGTTGTCCAGCACTTCACTATAATTTGAGAAGCCTGGAGAGATGCGGAATGTCCCAGAGGAAGTGAAGGATCAGCCGGTATGCGGTAACAGCATGTTAGTGCAGCGCAATGCAGAGTTAGTGGTGCCGCATGGCACACTCAGTGCTCTCGGTCTCAGCCCCTCGCAATTGGCAACAGTCTTTTGTACGTATGCACACACTCGCATGTATGTGTGTGTGTGTGTGTGTGTGTGTGTGTGTGTGTGTGTGTGTGTGTGTGTGTGTATGTGTGTGTGTGTGTGTGTGTGTGCATGCGTACGTTTGTGTGTACACAGTCATGCACTTTTCTTCGTGACGGTAGTCAGATGAGAGAAGGGGGGAGGGGGCAAGACAGGACCTGGAGTTGGTGATTGCCGCAGTACAGGTCCATGTGACCCGGTTTGAGCGGCATTTCAAAACCACTGCTCGCACTCGCACACGTCTCACTCTCTGGCTTCTTGTCAAATATTGCCGCTTGGGTGCCAGGTGCTGTCTGTACATATACACAGTACTATTTGACAGGTAAATGTACCGGTATACGTTTGTACGCAGCGAGCATGATGGCATGATTGGCGTCTCACTGTGTGTGTGTGTGTGTGTGCAGATTCTCACCAGCCGGTCAGTGAAAGGACATGCAGCCCGCGTCAGGGTGACAGAGGTAAAATGCTCGTGCCCACTGACAAGAAAATGGGATATTTCGATGCGGTGCATGCATGCAAGCTCTGGAAAGGTGTTCCTCTAGACTCCATAAACTCCATCCACTCCATATACGTTACATGTTTCCGAGATTTGCCTAACGCACAATACTTACTGCCCCTTTCTGACACCAGCAAGTGGCACACATATAACCAGCTCCCTGCGCGGAAAGACGCTCATCCAGACAGCCTTTTCATACCGAAACACGCCGCGTGCTGGATCCCAGACAAACACGGTGAGAAATCCTGGATTCTATGCACGTTTGTGTGCACGTGTGTGTGTGCACGTGTGTGTGCACGTGTGTGTGTGTGGTTATGTGGAGTATGTGGTGTGATGTATGTGCGGGGAAAAAATGAAAAAGGCCAAAAATAGGGATTCACTGGCAAGAAAAAGTCACTTCAAATAGCTTTATGGTGGAGACCAGGCTGAATAGTGACGGTCAATTCTTCAGCCTTGCAAGCTGTTGAATGGTGCAATCCCAGCACAATTTGCTATGGCTTCATGTGTATGTGTGCATGTGTGTGTGCGTGCGCGTGTGTGTGTGTGTGAGTGTGTATGTATGTGTGTGTGTGTGTGTGTGAGTGTGTGTATGTATGTGTGTGTGTGTGTGTGTGTGTGTGTGTGTGTGTGTGTGTGTGTGTGTGTATGGTGCAGTGGTATGTGCAGCGATTTCCAATCGATAGGTTGCGGGTTCGATTCCCGACGATTATGGTCATACACGTCTTTCTTCTCTTTCTCAGACTCTTCCTGACTTTTCTTTCATTCTCCTGGGTGGTTACCAACAGCCAGTGTATGCCGGAGTATGTGGTGTGGTGTGTGTGTAGAAAAAGAAAAAAAGAAAAAAAAAGAAAAAAAAATTGAAAAATGAAAAATAGGGATTCGCTGGCCAGAAAAAGTCACTTCAAACAGCTGTGTGGTGGATACCAGGCTAAAAATAGTGGCGGTCAATTCATCAGCCTTGCAAGCTGTTGAATGGTGTAATCCCAGCACAAGTTGCTATGTCTAAAACATAGCTGTTCGCTATCATCGCTCCCGCGATGGGCATGTCTGAGGTCTGAGGTCTGAGGTGTGTGTGTATGTGTGTGTGTGTGTGTGTGTACCCCAGCAAGTGTAGGGTGTGCATAGGTAACTGTCTTGGCCATTTTATGCTGATGTGCTCCATGTGGTGTAGACCAGGTGTGCATTGGTGGTCGATTCACATGGCTTAGCAGGATGTGTGGATTTGACAGTTTTCTGGCACTAGACTTCACCTGTCTCATTCAGATCTTGTCCGCTATCGTTGCTATACGAGGAAATGTGTGGGGGCATTTGCAGATTTGCATGCTTCTCTTGCGATGGGCGAATGCATGGTGCAGGGTACATGGTGTATATATGTGTGTGTGTGTGTGTGTGTGTGTGTGTGTGTGTGTGTGTGTGTGTGTGTCCCATATGGTGCAATGGTATGTGCAGCGATTTCCAATCGATAGGTTGCGGGTTCGATTCCCGACGATTATGGTCACACACGTCTTTCTTCTCTTTCTCAGACTCCTCCTGACTTTTCTTTCATTCTCCTGGGTGGTTACCAACAGCCAGTGCATGCCGGTGTATGTGGTGTGATGTGTGTGCGGGAAAAATGAAGAAATGAAAAGAACGAAAATAGGGATTCATTGGCCAGGAAAAGCCACTTCATAGCTGTGTGGTGTAGACCAGGCTGAATAGTGGCGGCCAATTCTTCAGCCCTGCAAGCTGATGAATGGTGCAATCCCAGCACAAGTTGCTATGGCTTCTGTTGTAGCATCGCTATCATCGCCTCCGGCGATGGGCGTCCAATGGTCCAATGGTGTGTGTGTGTGTGTGTGTGTATGAATGTGTGTGTGTGTGTGTATGTATGTGTGTGTGTTTGTGTGTGTGTGTGTGTGTGTGTGTGTGTGTGTGCGTGCGTGTGTGTGTGTGCATGCGTGTGTGTGTGTGTGTGTGTGTGTGTGTGTGTGTGTGTGTGCATGTGCGTGCCTGTGAGGGGTGTTTTGTGTGTCTTGTAGCAACGCACTTGGTCCGTCACATAATACATGCTTGATGTCACAGTTGGTGCATAGCAAAAAGCTTTTGCTATTAAGTTGATTGCTCCAACAAGGAACACACGCTTCTTGCCGAACTTGACACTTCACTGATTCCCGACAGCCAACCGGAGCACACGAGGAGCACGTCACACCTTCCACTTGGCAAACCTGCAAGAAAGCACCACTCCCTGCTCAATACACAACGTTTCGGGGAATTCACCCCTCATCAGTTGAGCTTGAGTAGGCTGAGCAAGATTGTGTCTGGGATACAAACTTACAGAGACGCTTTGTTTTCAGTGCTACAAACACCTCGTGAAGCCCCCAGGTAGCAGCGTGAGTCAGAGCCGCTCATGGAGTTGTGCTAAACAGACGTTGAGAGCCAGTAGCTAATCAAAACGCTGTCACCTCCAGCAACTAGTCGCACGTCCGCATGAGGGACAACAATACGAACTTAGAATTTGCGACTTTCATTACCTCAGAGCATTGCATGGATGAGATCCTACACGCCTTGTTTTCCACAGTGCTACAGAGCTGGTTGTAACTGTCGAGGTAAAATATTCAAACGGTTTGCACTCCTGAAAAGGCACGTATTTTGAGGCTACCCACTTCCATGTTTCCTTCACACCCCGAATTGTTCCTATTTTCTTTTAAACAGACTCTATTTGTGCCACTTTCTCTTCTGCTTTTCAGTTCCCAGAGAGAGCTTTCTTCCTGTAGACATCCCTCTCTTCAACTCCACAGTGTCCGTTCCCTTCATGCACCAGGTGGACTGGACCACTGCTGTTGGCGAGTGCAGATTCAGAGGTGGCTACTTGCCCAACACAAAGGCTGTAGACACTTGGAAGAAAAAACTCAGGGCAAAGTTAGGCCTGCGTCCCAGGATAAATAATATTGCCAGCAATTACCATATGGCTAATGCAAGAGACCCTGCACAGAGTAAATTTGTCTTGTGCGAAACTCCCAAGGAATACAGAAATTATGGTGAGTATGAAAATGACATAACCTCCTACCCCTCTCCTGGTGTCTCTCTCCCTCCCTCCCTCCCTCTCCTCTCCTCCCGTTCCCTCCCCTCCCTCCCCTCCCCATCCCTCACCTCCCCCTCCCTTTCCCCCTCCCTCCCCTCCCCTCCCTCCCCTCCTCCACTCCCCTCCCTCTCCCCTCTCCCCTCTACCTCCCCTATTTTCTCCCTCCCTCCCCTCCCTCCCCTCCTTTCCCTCCCTCCCCTCCCTCCCCCCACTCCCTCTCCTCTGTCCCTCCGTCCCTCCGCTCCCCTTAGTCTCTCCCTCTCCCTCCCCCTCTGTCTCTCCCTTCCCTCCCTCCCCTCCCTCCCTCAAGTTCTTTAAGATTATGGCATTCAGATCTGCATCTCTTCGCCTGGCCCTGTGTAGACTATTGCATCCTTTAATTTCTCATTTTTACACTGTTTTGCTTACTGCCAGGGCTGCAATCCCCCCCCCCCCCCCCATCCCTCCATATTGGCCTATATTCCCTGGCCACGGGAAGGTGAAATCAATGAAATTGTAAGGAAATGATAGGCAGCTGGTTTGCTCAGAGTTAGAATGCATGATTTGAATCTGTTGCCAGTTTTGTAAGTTCAAACAGATCAGCACCCTACATATCGCACATTTGTGTCAGAACGTGTGTACCGGTATGTGTGTGTGTGTGTGTGTGTGTGTTTGTGTGTGTGTCTGCGTCTCTGTCTCCACATGAGAACTGTTTGCATTTGGTTTGCTTTTTTGTGGACCTGGTCTCACAGACACGACACTGGTGTCCACGGACTGCAGCAGACACACTCGCCTTATACTTCCCAATGTTCAACCTGCCAGTATGGTGTTGGATGATGCCAAGAGGGAATGCAAGTATTGGAATGGAGAACTAGTAACCAGCGGAGTAGGTGGGCTCGAGAACTGCCTACTGCAGTTCTACAGGGCAATTCCAGGTCACCACACCCCAAAGGATCTGTGGTCAGGCCATAATATCAACTCAATCCCTGAAACACCTCGGGAGGGTCTGCAGAAAGCATACATACCTGTGTGTAGGGTGCCCATTAAGTATGGTACGTAGCTCAGTCAACCGTGGTCTCAGTCAACTGTGGTATCTGTACGCTGATCTCAGTCAATTGTAGTATCAGTACTGTGGTGTTGGCTGTTCATACTGCATTCAGCTAGCACCAAACACGTGGTTTTCGTTGTATTTCCGTACTCACGTGTGTGTGTGTGTGTGTGTGTGTGTGTGTGCGCGCGCACGCGAGGGCGTGCGCGCGTGTGGACATAAATGCATGTGTGCATATCTACGCGCATCTACCCGTCGCACACAGGCACACATAATTATCTTGGACTCAGTAGGCAGTCGGGTCACTGTAGGCAGTCAGGTCACTGTAGGCAGTCGGGTCATTGTAGGCAGTCGGGTCACTGTAGGCAGTCGGGTCACTGTAGGCAGTCGGGTCACTGTAGGCAGTCGGGTCACTGTAGGCAGTCGGGTCACTGTAGGCAGACGGGTCACTGTAGGCAGTCGGGTCCCTGTTGGCAGTCGGGTCACTGTAGGCAGTCGGGTCACTGTTGGCAGTCGGGTCACTGTAGGCAGTCGTGAGTCCAGTTTGCAGTCTAAATCCCGTAAAGAGTCTGATGGTGTGCCGCTAGAAGTCAGTAAGCAGTCAGATTTTCCAGTACGCAGGCGAAGGCCTACAGAACACCCCTACGAACACAGAACTAACTTCCTATCCTACTGCGAATACTTTGTGCAAGTACATGAAGTCAAGATGATGTGTTTGACTGTTTTGCCGTGAATGCGGGGACAAGTATTTACACAGCTTTGTTTGTGTTTGATACAAAGAGGACGCGGCAAAGCACAAGTCACGTACTAGGATTTAGGTGGACAGTTTGGATTTTCTCTTCGGCGCAGCCGTGCTTCAAATATCCTGCTGCTGGAGGCCGCATCTCACTCTTCTGTGTAGCGTCAAGACGTCAACGAACACGCAGGGATCACTTCACTAGGAAAGGCTGTGAACGCTGAGATTCAAAGCGATACGTTCCCAACCTGACTAGTATTTTCCAGGACCGGAACAATCATTTGCCGAAGTCGTTGATGGTCATCGACGAGGCCCTGACTTTCTATGATCAGAAGAGGCGCCAGAACTAGTGGAGACTCCAATGTCTTGAAGCAGAAGTGAAAATGGATAGGTTGAAATCCCAGATGTTGCAATACACTGCTGCTATGCAAATGTAGCCTGTATTTGTACCGCAGGCCACGCCGGCGAATTTTTCTTCCCTTCCTGGGACAGCTGACTGCATGCTGCATGCATGATATCCAGCATGTATTTCTTCTTGCTCTGTATGGATGTATTGGTTGAAAAAAATATAAGCACGGTCTCCAATATAAGCGCGGTCTCCAATATAAGCGCGGTCTCCAATATAAGCATGGGGTAGAGGGGTGTTGAAAAAATATAAGCACGGCGCTTATAATAGAGAATATACGGTAATAGATGATCAAAAGAGTGCCAGGAGATAAACTTCTAAAGAAAATGCAATATGAGGTGACACTACATATTCCACGGAATTCCGCTACGGTGAAATCAATGTTCTCTGGCATCCAGTTGTTTCAGGTTCGGACCCCACTTATGGAAGGAACGGGGGAGGGGGAGGGGGGGGGGGGTCTCTGTACCAATATGCAAGGGTTAAACAGCTTTATCCATCACAAGCACTGTTGTATACATCATTCATTCCATCATTCTCGTTTTCTGTGTGCTCACACCCTGTTTGATCGTACTCCTTGTGCAGTTAAGTTCTGGTGTGCACAAACCAACTCCGATCTATCCATTCGAGAAAATCCTCAGACCAAAACGCTGCTCGAAGCAAGGGAACATTGCCGGAGCGGGTTCTCTGCGGACGGGAATGGAAACCCATATGGTGAAGATGGCCGCATTGTTAGCCAATTGTCCGTCGAAATGCAATGCCTGACCACCTACCTCAAGCAAGTCCAGAAAGAATCCATTGAAGGCAATGTTTGGATTGACGGTGATCGAGCTAGTCCTCCAACGCAGAAGAAATATGTCGTTTGTGAATACAGAGGAGCGTTCAGTAAGTGTCCCACAGAATGAAACCACGGTCAGTGTTGGGCCCGGTGGTACCCTTTCTGTTCGGATATTTTTTATTACCCAGAGGCGAGTAGCGATTACCTAATCATAAAGTGGTTCTTTGAAAATCCGGAATTTTGTGTGCTACGGAAATTCTGCTGGGTTAAAGGGAGGGTGCTGGATGAGCAAGTCTTCGCGTATGTGAGTGCACAGTTGTTAGTGGGTTCATCAAGATCAGACATACCAAGATTTTCTGGTGGAGATAGAACTGCTAAACCAGTCGCTGCGTTCCAAGACTCGACTCCAGCCAAACACGAAATCCATCGTAACAGGCAGACTGGGCATACATAGAATATGGCCGTGTCACGTGCGAGGACCTATCATCCGTACGCTACACACTGCAGAGCAGAAGTATGACGTAGATGTCGCCGTGCAGCGGTGTAGTAGACGTGCCTGACGGTTGGCTTGAACTGCATACATGTATATGCATGCATGACAGGTATACATGTGCATGCACATCTGCAAACCATAAGCATAATGTTATGCACATGCAAATCTGCAATGAATTTCTGGCATTTTGATAAATATGGCATATCAAGTGTGAAGTTTGGGTTTAGTGACAGGTCGAATAGATCCAGTGCTGCCTATTAAAAATTTAATAAATAATAATAATAATAAATAATTTTCACCCAAAATCTGACACCTTTTACCGCTAAGCCTGGTCACATTGTGCGAATTTTTCCTATTAATAGCAAATTTTTCAAAGAATTCAAAATATCGCCCAAAATAAGAAGAAATTTCGCTTAGTTGCCATGGTAACCAACACGGCGCCCAGCATGCAGCAGTTCTCATGAATTTTGTAATGCATGAATGCTTTTAGAAGCGCATGTACAGTGATTTGTGCATTCCGTTGCTCTCAAAAGTGAAAATACAGGGCTTCTGCATGGGAAAGTACTGACCCCTGACATTTTTGGCTGCTTTCGGACATAACCTTTTTCGGACCGGTTTTCGGAAGAGCCTTCAAAAATCGGACAGTTTGGCAGCACTGTATATCATACCTGCAACGTATCCCGATTTTTGGGGATTATCTACTGCACATCATTGCTACCCTGTCCAATGCCACACTGAACATCTTTGCTACCCTGTCCAATGCCACACTGTACATCATTGCTACCCTGTCCAATGCCACACTGTACATCATTGCTACCCTGTCCAATGCCCCACGGTACATCATTGCTACTCTGTCCAACGCCGCACCATAGATTGGCAACATTATCAGAAAGAATAACAGGAACAAATGCAGTACTAAGGTAGCCGCGCCATCTTCAAGAATCTTTTCCGTGCATTGCCGCACATGCCTGCACCCTTTGACCATACTGGCTTTTGTACATCTTTACAGCGGGCATCTGTCTTTTTCTGTGTTTGCAGCGGACCTGCTTTGCAAGAAGACAAAATCTCGATACAGCCCGTTCCCCTTGGTCAAGAAGAGCTACGACGGTGCCGTAACAGAATGTAAACGTCGAAAATACACTGGGCTGATGACTAAAACTGATGGCTGTGAGATTCCTTCTTTCTTCAGGCTAAATATGGACGCCTTTTGGTGGAAAAACTCTTTGGCACGCCACATTGGCGAAAGACTCGTCATCTGTGAACGGTGTAAGCTGTGATACTGCATTGCTATTGGTCGTGGTGGTGGTGCTGCTGCTGCTTTTGCTGCTGCTGGTACTGCTGCTGGTACTGCTGCTGGTACTGCTGCTACCATTGTTGTTGCTACTGCTGCTGTTACTGTTGCATCTACTGCCATTGTTGCTGCTTCTAGTGTTGTTGCTGCTATTGCTGCTGCTTCTGTATTTTTCGTTCAGAAAGTAGTGGACATCACGCAACTGTGTTGTAAATAAAAGTGGTTTGTCAACTGACAATCGCTCTATTTAGTTACAAGTAGGGCTGAAAGGATCATTCAATAACGATCAACCAATATCACTAACGATTCATATATTGGTATTATCGATTCTTGTCGGCTCTACCCGTGTACCTCGAACGCCAGTTTCAACTTTCACACCAAGGTTCAACTCGAGTGACAGGACTGCACCCAAAAAAGGTCAAACAGGCTAGTAAGTTGTACCCTGCAGGCATGGTGACCAGGTGACTGGTGTACGCAGGAGCACGTGACCGCTTGTTCAACCATGTTCGATTGGGAATAAAGGAGGAACGCTGCATCGCAGCCTTTTCGGACCAAAACCAGTCGACTCAGCGTCCAAAAGACTGCAACATATGGGCCAATCGCGCTCATCTGTGCTTTTATAAGAACGAAATGGCGCTTTTAGTGACATTTTGCACACAAATTCCCATCTAGTAGGGCGCAGTCACCCAGTTTCGGTGGAAGTGCGCGAGTTCGATTGGGATTCAAGTAGGAAGGGAGCGTCTCAGCTTCCTCGGACCAAGACCATTCGACTCAGCACCCCGAAGACTACAACTGGTGAAAATTTGATTTTAGGGTATACTTCCCCTTTAAAACGATCGATATGCGAGTTATCGGTATAATTGTTTCAGCGCTAACTTACAAGTCACTCTTGGCGCATGCCCCGGGTTGAAAACTCTTTTATTATTGATGTCGAAAACTTATTGACGTTTCGGGCCAGTCACCCATCGTCAGGTATATCTGTATTTTTGATGTTATAATTAGTGTTGAAACGAGCGTATCTATAACAAACGAGCGATCGGTTCCACTAACGAGCAAGCTATCGAGCGAGCTAACGAGTTTCACTGATGTGGAAAAATTGTTTTTAAAAATATACAAGTATTTTTTCTAAGTTAGATTTTTTTCAGCTGGTTCAAATCGTCACCGCCGGCATTTGGGATTGCTGCTGCTTCACTTCAGACTGCTGTTTGGTGTCGAGATGTCTTTTCAGCGCCGTTGTTGAGTAGCCTTTGTAACCGTTTTGCAAAGATTGCAAGTAGCCCTGGTCTTCGCAGCATCGCGGGAGAAAACTTCCAAACGACTGAGCGTAACTTCACTCAAATGGAGAGGTGACCGAAGCATATCCTGCGACAGGTTAGCAGATGCGGAACAAGACATCAGTAGAGTCCACCAAAGCTGCAACGGCAACTGAAACAACTCAAGTGTCGTGCAGGCATACAGTCACCGTAACTGCGAGTGATTTTCACTTTGCGCGGGACTGGACACTCGATCGACCAGGGAGTCGGAAAATATTTTTACGACTCCCCAGTCGACATGTACTGTCATGTGTACGGAGTACGGTGTACGGTGTTCGTTAGTGCAAACGAGCTGGCCGCACAAACGAGCCGAGTTTCTGGCGAGCGAGCTAACGAGTATCCGGTGAGATCGTTTCAACACTAGTTATAATGTTTTTGAGGCTGTTGTTGTTGGTGTTTGCTTGTTTGTTTTCACATGATGACCAGTGGCCATTACGAGATTATACAAAAAGGTGCAGGCCCGTCGCACCGAGTTTGGAGGTGGGGTGGCCATGGAAGGGTGATGCGGGGTCCCCCCTCCCCCCCCCCCACCCTCGTGGATTTCGATTCCAAAATTGAAGTTAATTGTAAGCATTTCAGGGCATTTGACGCCATTCCAGTGTAAATCAGAGAGTCGTCATATTTGACGACTCTTGGGTGTGACAACAATGAAAGACTTTTTTTGTAGAAAAGAGAAGAAAACACAAGAGAACGAGTTAATCAGCAACTATCCACGACTGTTCCAAGATGATAAACAGTCAGAAAGTGCATCTTGTTACAGTCATGGATAGCTGCTGCATAATTCTTTCTCATATGTTTTCTTCTCTTAAAAAAAATTTTTTTTTACTGGCACAGTATCCGAGTTAAAAGACTTTTTGATTCTGCAAAAAAACCAAGAAGACGCTACGTTCGAGGACAAGGATTATTCGCCACGTTTGCGCTGAGCTGCGATCACCACGCCCCGTTGCAGTGTGCTGCAAAAACAAATGTGTGAACATGAGCCCTCTATTAAATTGTCGTTCCTGGATGTTTTAGTCGAGAAGAGCCCAGTTGGCGTATCGAAATACGTGTACCAGGCAATATATCACGTCTTGTCTGTAATTTTGTTAACTTTGCATTTCAAATTTGTTCCGCGGAAAATTTGAATGGTGAGCTCGAGTTGCTATGGACTGCCTTTGTCAAAAAGCGGTTACCCGGAACAGCTATTAAGCACATTGATAACATCCAGTATCACACGGCGAGAACCCACCATCGGCCCTGCTCTCTGTCCACTTTAAGTATGTCTCCCGTACAAGGGACAGGAGTCAGAACAGTTGCGTCGTACCGTTTAATCAACTGTTCGCGACGCATATTATGCGGTCAAAGTCTGAACAGTTTTTACAAAGATACGGTGCGTTCACGGTGCTTGAGGTTGTTCTACCAACCCTTTAACTCGGCCATATCCCCTCCACTGCTTTGGCTGCCATCGCTATGTGCATCTCCGTGCGTTTTTGCTGGCGTTTGCACCATGATAGTTTGTGGTAGAAAAGGAAAAGAAAAAAAAGGCCCAGTGCATTGTTTTGAATGTCCGATATGTTGGTAGAACTGTCCAGCAACTGAGCGCACAAATCCAAGCAACATGTAACCTTGTGGATGTTGTCAGAGTATGCCAAACGCATACGTCCTAGACATGGTAGACCACGGTAACACCCAGAGGCGAAAGTGACTCAGATAAATGGAAGCCTACTTCCTGCAGCGGTGGCGCCCTCCCTGTCAGCGCGGCAGCAGTGCCGGGAAATTCAGCATCACCCCCAGTGCCCATTGCAGCCATCAGTGACTCGATACCGACGACAAAGGTGGTGTAGAATAGTGATCATGCCTCGTGACCAATACGAACTGACTGTTGCCTATTGGCTAATAGGTAACGGATCAACCTCACCTCGTCTTCATGCAATAAGGACTCCAGCACTGCTACGAGTTTCTCCTGTCGAACTATGTCAAGGTTTTTGACATGTTTATTCCAAAGATGTGAAGTGTCGGCCTGCAACGTTGAGTACTTGCTGCAAACCAACGATGAAAACAGGCAACATCTGCAGTGGAGCATCCTGGTCGAAATCCACCGTAGGTGGTAGCCAGGAACTGGTTGGCAAGTTGCATGATTCGGCGGAGTGTAATGAGCGATGCCATGCTTCCGAAGTGCAGCAGGTGAAAGTATTGGCCGAAGACTGGTGGCCGGACCGGCCGACTTTCCAGGCTCCTGAAATGGGATAAGAATTCCACTGCCGATATTGATAGGGTCATGTTGTTGAAACATTCGGTTAATCAAGGATGAGAGGAAGGGGGCAATAGTGGCAGCAGCACTGTAGTTTCTGGTTAGTCCAGAAAAAATGAAATTGAATTTGTTTGTGAATTTTCACGTCGTGTTGTCAGAAATTTGATTTGAACCCATGCCAAATTTACATGGACCGGAACAATAAAAGAAAATTAATTCAGCTGTCTGTGTGACTAGGGTGTGTGATTGCACGTCAGCAGAGCCACTCAGTTTCAAATTGTGAACGGAAGTGTGAGCTGAGTCGACATGTGAAACAGTTTTACTGCAAAAAGTGTGGTTGTGTGTGTGTCCCTTTTTAATGAAATCGCCCATGTGATAGCTGATTATAGCTGGTTCACAAACGATGGTGATTCAGCTGAAATCGCTCATGTGATAGCTGATTATAGCTGGTTCACAAAGGATGGTGATTCAGCTGAAATCGCTCATGTGATAGCTGATTATAGCTGGTTCAGAAAGAATGGTGATTCAGCTGAAATCGCTCATGTGATAGCTGATTATAGCTGGTTCAGAAAGAATGGTGATTCAGCTGAAATCGCTCATGTGATAGCTGATTATAGCTGGTTCAGAAAGAATGGTGATTCAGCTGAAATCGCTCATGTGATAGCTGATTATAGCTGGTTCAGAAAGAATGGTGATTCAGCTGAAATCGCTCATGTGATAGCTGATTATAGCTGGTTCAGAAGGGATGGTGATTCAGCTGAAATTGCTCATGTGATAGCTGATTATAGCTGGTTCAGAAAGGATGGTAATTCAGCTGAAATCGCTCATGTGATAGCTGATTATAGCTGGTTCAGAAAGGATGGTAATTCAGCTGAAATCGCCCATGTGATAGCTGATTATAGCTGGTTCAGAAAGGATGGTAATTCAGCTGAAATCGCCCATGTGATAGCTGATTATAGCTGGTTCACAAAGGATGGTGATTCAGCTGAAATCGCTCATGTGATAGCTGATTATAGCTGGTTCACAAAGGATGGTGATTCAGCTGAAATCGCTCATGTGATAGCTGATTATAGCTGGTTCAGAAAGAATGGTGATTCAGCTGAAATCGCTCATGTGATAGCTGATTATAGCTGGTTCAGAAAGAATGGTGATTCAGCTGAAATCGCTCATGTGATAGCTGATTATAGCTGGTTCAGAAAGAATGGTGATTCAGCTGAAATCGCTCATGTGATAGCTGATTATAGCTGGTTCAGAAGGGATGGTGATTCAGCTGAAATTGCTCATGTGATAGCTGATTATAGCTGGTTCAGAAAGGATGGTAATTCAGCTGAAATCGCTCATGTGATAGCTGATTATAGCTGGTTCAGAAAGGATGGTAATTCAGCTGAAATCGCCCATGTGATAGCTGATTATAGCTGGTTCAGAAAGAATGGTAATTCAGCTGAAATCGCCCAAACCCTGCCTTACAATGACAGTCCTTGCATAGAATTATCTCAAAAATGAGTAAAATAGATGCTAGTACTGCCATCTTACAATACATACACAATGTACAAAAGTAGGATGATGATGATGATCATCATCATGATGTTCCTCTTTTTATTGAGTTCCAGTGCACTTTGTGTTCATTTTCCTCTCTTTTTTCATTCTAATTGAATTTTGATGTATTGCGTTTTTGCTTGCCCTTACAAGAGGCTGTTCAAATGATGATGAAGATGATTGATCCCACCTACCAACCCGGCAAATATATTGATTTTGATAAAAACGATTCAAAGCCTCTCAATTATTTTGTAATACTTCATGTATAGATATAAGAATAATAACAATAGTTACACTTTCACTCCAAACTAGCTCGGTGCAGCACCAATCACGGCAGGGGAACCCGACCCTCCACCATCGCCAAATCACAAAGCATGTGAACTGGACGGTGACGGGCCGACCGAGCACCCCTGACACACAACACAGCCGAACGTAGCAGCGAGAAAGACACCCGACAACGATAATAGCCCATCAACGGCGAATAGCTACCTCCCGAAGATTGAGATGATGATGATGATGATGATTTTTTTTAATTATTTTGTAATACTTAATGTATAGATATAAGAATAATAACAATAGTTACACTTTCACACTGGATGACGTCAAGTTCAGCAGGCTCGTGTTCTCGGGACGCATCAGGTATCTGGACCCGGCAGGGTCCTGGGAATGGATGAAATTGGGAATCCGTCCACAGGTGCTACAGTTCGTGAGGTATGGCTGGAGAAGCACCCCATCGCGACTCAGCCTTCCGAAGATGTCCTCCTTCCTGGTGAGCCGGCCGAAGCCAACAACATCTTGTTCCAGAGAATCACACCGGAGCTGATTCGTAAATTAAGCCGGCAGATGCACGAATCGTTGGACCCGTCCGGCCTGGATTCTGATGCATGGTGTAAAATGCTGACGTGTTTTAAGACGACCTCAGATACTCTCTACTCTGCATTGGCTGCTGCCGCACAATGTCTGTGCACGGTGACCGTGGAGCCAGAATCAATGTTGGGATTTACATCGGCTCGCCTGATTCCACTCGATAAACAACCAGGTGTGCGCCCAATCGCGGTCGGTGAGGTGCATAGGAGACTGATCTGCAGAGCTATTGCGAGGATCACGGAACACAACATCCTCCGCGTAACTGCACCCCACCAGACATGTGTTGGTGTTCCATCAGCCTGCGAAGCCTCAGTTCACGCAATGACTTCCATGTTCGCTGGACCTAATACGGAAGGAGTATTGTTGGTCGACACATCAAATGCGTTCAACTCGCTGAATCGTCAGGCCGCACTCCATAACGTTCCTTGCATCTACCCCGATCTAGGCAAAGTGTTTACCAACACCTACAGCTCGCCAATTCGCCTTTTCGTTGCTGGTGGAGGTGAGATATTGTCACAGGAAGGGATATGCCAAGGGGACCCATTGGCAATGGCAGTGTATGCTGTTGCCACAGCACCTCTGGTGAAGCACCTGGCAGCGGCTTGCCCGTCGGTCGTCCAGTCCTGGTATGCAGATGACGATGCGGCGGCGGATAGACTCCTGCAGCTCCGACAGTACTGGGATACTCTCGAACAGGCTGGCCGCGGATATGGTTACCATGCCAATGCAGCCAAGATCATCCTCGTTACGAAGCCAGAGCACCTCGATCGAGCGAGAGAGGTGTTTGACGGTACCGAGGTGACTATATCAGCCGAAGGAGCCCGTTACTTGGGCGGTGTGCTGGGATCGGCCAGGTATACGGAAGAATGTATATCCGCAAAGTCGCGTTGTTGGGCACAAGAACTCAAGTCTCTGGCTGGACTGGCGAGTACCCAGCCACACGCGGCATACGTGGTGTTAACCAATGGTCTGGCTGGCCGGTGGCAATACCATCTCCGTGCCACACAGCACAGCCCTGAGGTTCTTCAGGTACCTGGCCAGGTTATCGATTCGGAGCTTTTGCCAGCTCTCCTGGGCCATGAGTTAGACCCCAATAGCTCACAGCGGGAGCTTCTGTCTCTACCCACAAGATGTGGTGGTCTTGCTGTGCCGATTCTGCCTTCCCAGGCGCCTGTGGAGTAAGCGGCCTCAACAAAGATCACTGAGCCGTTCGTGTGCCTGATTGTACCGCCGGATACATTAACGTCTCCAGAAGAGGCACCTGCTGCTCCATACCAGTCCTCCACACAGCCTCTGACCGTTGCGGGCGCGGAACAGCCACACAACGTTCAGGGCCATTCTCCCGGGTTGATTCTATCGTCATCTCTACCCGATGATTTCCGCCTACATCCTGTACCACGGCCGGGATCACTAGCCTGGATGACGCAGCCGGAGGCTCGGGCGCCGATGTTACCCTTGATGCCATCGGGGATGTTCGACAGCGAGCATGTCAGTCACGTCAGCAGCGGCAAAAGAAACAGGAGGAAAGAGTGGCACAGTTGCGCCCCATGCTACCGCCGGCGCAACAGCTTTTGTTGGAAATGGCTGGTGAGAAGGATGTTTCAAATTGGTTATCCTCCATGCCGTCTTTCGTAACGCCCAGTTCAATCCTGAACAAATCGGATTTTCGTGATGCTGTTTGTATTCGATATGGTTTGTCATTGGAGGGAGTGTCCTGTTCCTGTATTTGTGGGCAAGACATGACAATAGATCATGCCATGAGTTGCCCGGCGGGTGGTTACCCAATTGCAAGACATAACAAGATCCGGGACATTCTGTCAGAAGCTATTCGGGAAATACTACGAGATCTGGAGAAGGAGCCTCTTCTCAAGCCGTTCGAAGGAGAAACACTACCACATCGAACTGCGAACCGGTCTTTGGAGGCGCGTCTGGATATCAGGGCGCGGGTCTTCTGGACCCGGCAGCAGGATGCCTTTTTTGATGTACGGGTAACTCACCCGAAGGCAAGCCTGCTGTCGCGTACAGACGTCCTTCGTCAACCGAAGACCCATGAACAGGCCAAAAAGAGAGAATATTGTGCCCATGTAAATATTGTAGAGAGAGCATCATTTACACCGTTAGTTTTCTCAACTTCATGCATGTGTGGGCGAGAGGGGTCTCGTTTTTTGAAAAAATTGGTATCGCTTGTTACATTATTCTGTAGTCATGGGACAACTTCGATCTGTATTGTCGCTGTGTTTGCTCCGCTGGTGTACTACTTGCATACGTGGTTCACGGGCATCATACAAGCGCCAGCGCCACAGCTTTTTAACAAGCTGCCATACACTTAGAGCACGTTGATGTGTAGGTCTTCTCCGATTGGTGGCCTCATACTCATTGTGTTCAACTGCACTTTGCGTTCCTTTTTATATTTAGTTCCAGTGCACTTTGTGTTCACTTTGCTCTCTTTGTTCATTCTAATTGAATTTTGATGTATTGCTTTTTTGCTTGCCCGTACAAGAGGCTGTTCAAAATTTATTTAAAATTAATGATGATGATGATGATGATGATTTTTTTGTAATGATTATGTGGGATTAATATCTTACATTAGACAATACTTGAAGTATATTTTTGATACAATATCAGCAATCATCCAATATTTATCTGACACAATAATATTCTTAATTTACACAAGAGAGAGTTTGGAAGCTTCTCTTCGGACAGTGAAGCACACCACAAGTTGACTATTCTTAATTTAACTCAATTCAATGGTTTCCCGACTATATTGACATATTCATTGATCATAATCTATTCAGTTTTCTCTGGATTGCACGTAAAAGAGGCCCTTATAATGATGATGATGATGATGATTATGACGTGTGTGTGTGTGTGTGTGTGTGTGTGTGTGTGTGTGTGTGTGTGTGTGTGTGTGCGTGTGCGTGTGTGTGTGTGTGTATGTATGCGTGTTTGTTTGTGCTTGTGTGTGGCCGTGCTTGGTTACATGCACATATGTTGAACTTGCAGTATTCCAATGTATTTCATTCGATGATGGGACACGTCCTCATACCTCAACACTACACTATTTCCCTGCAAAGTCTGGCAAGAACTACGGGGAAGCTCTACAGTTTTGCGCTGCCAATGGCATGCACCTTCCATTTTACTATGAAAGGCATTGTGTGACCACATTCTTATCTGAAAAGTTGGGAATTCAAGGGTTTGGTTGGATTCAAAGGCCTCCCCTTGGTGACCACGCTATTGTAAGCCAATCATTATCAAATGGCAAACCTCAGTGGATCCGCTCCAACAGAAAGTTGGTGATTGTCGTCTGCATTCTACCCAGTGTAAGTGATCATGATCGTTATCAATTACCCGTGCCCCCCCCCCCCTCCCCCACACACACACCAGGCAGGCACCGTGGGTTGTTGCCCCTCCCCCTCCCCCTCCCAGACCATGGTTGAGATACAAGAGGTATCTGGTTCAAGTCCTGCCTGGGAGCGTTAATTCCGGCCGTGCTGCTGCCCACAGTCAACTGGAAACTTGTGGCCCGTCACAAGGGTACATGGATGTGGCAAATGGGGTTTCTCGGCATTTGCGCCAGTGGTTGTGAGACCTATCCCCTCACCCCCATCGTTAGGCACTACATCGTCCTCTAGTGTTTACTGGGTGTTAGCGGCCGTCGTGAGTTCCCTTCGGAAACGGACACGATCATTTACTTTTTACACAACACACACACACATACACACATACACACACAGACAGACACACACACACACACACACGCACACACACACACACTCACACACACACACACATACACATACACACATGCACATACACACATACACACACAAACGCTCATGGCCAGTAGATAGGGTACCGTATTTCCCCGTAAGTTAGTACATACTAACTTTCGAACTTAGCAGCCACATGAGTACTAAGGCTGTGTTTACATGAGAAATTTCAACCCGGGTCGAGTTCAGCCCGGGTTGAAAGTCTGTACGATAGACAAAAGAGGTGAGCGTTTACATGAAGTCAGTTGACCCGGGTCAAATACTGATATGCCGCCAAAAGTCTACTTCTACAGTCCTGTATGGTCATGTGAATCCGATCGCGCGAAATTTGCATCTGCAGTGCCGTTCAAACCTGGCGCGAGATACGCACAGAAGTACGTTTGTACGATTTCCTTGACCCGGGTTGATTTCAACCCGGGGCGAAATTTCAACCTGGGTCAAGCGCAATGCGTCATGTAAACGCGCCATTCATTTTATGCACATGGCGGGTTGAAAGCTGACCCGGGTCGAACTCAACCCGGGTTGAAACGCCTCATGTAAACACCGCCTAACTTTCTGGGTGGCACTATCTTTCGGGAGTACTTTTTTATCGGGGGTAAATGACACACAGTGGGAAGCCTGTGCAACTCTTGTGTCTGTGCTTATGATGTATGTTTTGTACGGTGTCTGTACATGTAGGACGGGTACGAACTTACTACCTTTCGGGGGGAACTGTCCTTCGGGGTGATAACCTCTGCAGTGGAAAGTGTGTTTTTTATAGGGGGGTACTAAGTCATTGGGGAGAACTAACTTACGGGGAAATACGGTACCGTACATGCTTGGAGAGCGCACGCAACGCGATGAATGTGATCGCCGCAATTGAACGTTTGCTTGTGGGGTATTGGTATCCAGTAAGACCTGGCGATTATTGATACACTCATGATGTTGATTATCCAGGGTGCTCTGATATCCATCATGGTGGCACCAACCCATGCCCATATTATCCCTTTAAATATCAGACGGTTTTGGGTGAGACCTCATGTGTTTTGGACTCTTGGTGAGGATGCATGCGGAGCTAAGAGTATTAATTTTGAGTGTGCTTTACGAGGCTTGCCGCGGTCTTTGAGTTGTGGAGTGGCGTTAAATTAACTTTTTGTAATGTTTGCTTTCTTTCTCCCACGTGTTTTGTCCGTGTGTGTCTGTGTGTGTTCGTGTGTGTGTGTCTGTGCATAACTCTGTGTATCTGCTGCAGTGAGAGGAATGCGCTGACTCTACATTGTTGTGGGCACTTGCATGATGGATGCCCGTCAACTTTCCTCCCGAACTGTTTTGGAGCAGAATGTGGAGTCGTGGAGGGGTCTCAACCTGCCTACCTGGGCACACACGAACCTGCAGACGATGTGGAGACTACCTGGGCACACATGAACCTGCAGACGATGTAAACACTACCTGGGCACACATGAACCTGCAGACGATGTGAAGCCTACCTGGGCACACATGAACCTGCAGACGATGTGAACACTACCTGGGCACACATGAACCTGCAGACGATCTGAAGCCTACCTGGGCACACGTGAACCCGAACACACAATGCGATTTGCACGACAGCCACTCTAGGCTGGCGAACCGGCTGCTCCACACATCTATATACATTTTTCCATATTCTCCTGCTTCATAATTATTATGATTGATGATTGATTGATTTTATTTTACTTTGCAAGTTCAAACGGGTTCCTGGCCCAGTTATATGAAAGCGAAGGATAGAATTTGCCAAAATCCTAATGAGCAACAGCATAGGCAGTATTATCATTGAAGTGGAGTACTATGCGAGCGAGAATACTGAGAAGAAAGGAACGTGTCAAAACCTGACGAAACACAACCTATTTCAGGCATACATAAGGAAGGCAGGCTAGCTTCAAATCTTGCAATCTGGATACGATGCGCACCTCTCTAGGCAAACTGTTCCACAGCAATGCTCCTGCGGTGGCGAATCTCGTTTGGCCACACCGACTGTGAGCTGGCTGGCTGAGCAGACCATTGGCATGCTGATGGCGCGTACTTCTGCCGATGCATGCTGCTGGTTTGAGAAGCTGGGCTAGAGCAAGGCTAGTGGAGTCATTTAGACAACGCCAGATGAAGATCAGGAGCTTTTGTCTAAAAAGTTCAGTGACGCAGTAAATCAAGTTGGCAGCCAGGAGGGGCTGCATCGCGGAACATGGCGGGCTGCCATCAATGCATCGGATCGCCCGGTTTTGCATGGCTTGCAGACGCTGAAGTTGGGTCACGCGGAGGGCTGCAGAGAAGCTGCAGGCACTATATATAATATTCTTCCGCACTCCCATCCTAAAGCAGAGGGTACTTCTGAATGTAGCTAGAAAGGCCCTTTGCCTTCTTCTTCTTCTTCTTCTTCTTCTTCTTCTTCTTCTTCTTCTTCTTCTTCTTCTTCTTCTTCTTCTTCTTCTTCTTCTTCTTCTTCTTCTTCTTCTTCTTCTTCTTCTTCTTCTTCTTCTTCTTCTTCTTCTTCTTCTTCTTCTTCTTCTTCTTCTTCTTCTTCTTCTTCTTCTTCTTCTTCTTCTTCTTCTTCTTCTTCTTCTTCTTCTTCTTCTTCGAAGGTCGAAGAAGCCACGTCAGTCCAAATGCCTAACTGAGCTCTACATCAAACGCCGTGCACTGCGTAAGCAATATCGAAGGAGAGATAGGCTTGCCGCCTATGAGGTTGAGACCATCAGATCAGACTACAACCGTATGCAAAAAGACATCAAGAAACTGAGAAAGATCATCCAAATACAAGAGCAAGACCGTGAAGCGCAGAAACAGCGGACGGCCTTTCTTAAGGACCCTTACGGGTTTGCAAAACGCATGTCCCAAAGCAGATCACGTGTAACACCAACTTTCTCGGAACAGGCCTGCTTTGAGTATTTCTCCAAACTTTATGAAGATCCCTCTCGTGAGCAAATTTTCTCGGATCCAGATTTCTGTCCAGCTACGAGTAAACCGTCCACACCACTATCTGATAACAGCCCCAGTTGGAAAGCCTTCCAGAACACTCTGAAAAAATGTAGAAACAAATCTGCAGCCGGTCCAAACGGTATTCCATACATAGTGTGGAAAAAGTGCAAATGTCTGCACGGCATTCTTTTCAATATCTTCGAGAAAGTCTGGAAGACAGGATCCATTCCGCTGTCTTGGCAGTGCGCCTCAGTAACGCTTCTCGCAAAAAGTGACAATGACTCTGACCCGGCGAAATTCCGCCCAATTGCCCTATCCAACTGTGACGGCAAGATTTTCTTCGCCATGTTGTCAAAAATTCTGACTCGCCACATGCTGACGAATGGGTATTTTGACGGCATGACCCAGAAAGGTTTCTTGCCGGGTATGTCCGGTTGTATTGAACACGCCACTCTTTGTCACGAGGCCATGAAAGACGCCAAACGCCACAAGCGTTCGATTGCCATGGTATGGATCGATTTAAAGAACGCCTTTGGCTCAGTAAAACACAACCTGATCCAGAGGGCACTGCAACGCTACCACATCCCGCTGAAAATCAGGAACCTTGTTTACTCTTACTATGAGCGTCTGACAGCATTCATTAAAAGACCACTCACTCAGACCTTCCGGTACAGCATCGGCGTATTTCAAGGTTGCCCACTTTCCCCTATTCTATTCAACATCTGTTTCCAAATTCTACTTGATTCTCTTCAGACCAAACCGATCCAAGCCCTTTCGTACAGTTTCCGTGACACAACTGTCACTGCTTCGATCACTGGATTCGCCGACGATTTAGCAGTCTTCAGCAATCGAACTCATGGTGCGCAGAAGAAGTTAGATCTGGTTGATAGTTTCCTTGCCTGGTCAAAAATGCAGGCGGCCCCGCACAAATGCAGGTCGTACGCAGCCAAATTGACCAACAACAAATACACCTGCTTTGACCCCGCACTCAGAATATCGGAAACTCCAATACCAGCTCTAAACGGCCAACAATTCAAGTTTCTAGGCAGGATGCTAACAGATACAGTAGGTGAGATAACGCAACGCGAAGACCTCATAAACTCCACAAGATGCCTACTAAAGACAGTTGCCGAGACCAGACTATACGAACACCAGAAGTTGTGGCTCTACCAGCATCAAATCATCCCCAAAATAGCATGGCAGCTCGAGATACTTGATCTCAGCCACAGTTTCGCCAAACTCCTACACAGAATTTGCCTTCCATTCTTAAAGAAATGGGCAGGCTTGCCCAGACCCGCAGCACCAGCAATACTCTTCATCGGCGCTCGGGAGCGCTTCGGCCTACGTTTAACGTACATCCCTACGCTATGGAAGCAACGACAGGTCATTAGATGGAATATCATCAAGAACAGCAGCGACAAGAACATGGCAAACCTGTACCAACATCACAGCAAACAACAGTATCTGCTCACAAGACAATACTCCGCAATAAAAGAAATGGAATGTGCCGAGGCAGCGATCTCTGAAGCTAGTCCAACTAACCTCCAGCAAGGCAGGGCAGGACTCGGCTTTAGGCATGACAAACAAGAGAAAATTAAACCTAGAAAACAAATACTCAATACCATTCATGAAGGTGACTGCCAAGACCAGCTATCCCACCTCAAAAGCCTGCAAATGCAAGGCAGCTGGTTAAAGTGGAGAGACACGATGTTTGAAGACCTCACTTGGAAAAAACTGTTGTACGAAGGCTACGGGAGAACTTTCTCCTTTCAACTAAACTGTGTATTAAACACACTACCAACAGTTGACAATCTGAGGAGGTGGGGTAACTCTGTGGTCGAACAACAATGCCCTCTATGCAACAGGCAAGCTACGCTCCGTCACATATTATCAGCATGTCCAACAGCCCTCCACCAGGGCAGATATACCTGGCGCCACGACAACGTACTGAAATGCATAGTAAAACTAGTAAACGAAACCATCCAAACTTATCAAAAGGCCACGGCATCAGCAGAAACGCAGAGTAATCAGAAGAGAATTGATTACATAACTTTCTGCAAGGCAGGAGAGAATCTCCCCAAACAGCCCCCCTCCCAACGCAAACGGCTAAATGACCAATTCGTAACTAGCTCAGCAGACTGGCAGGTCCTGGTGGACATGAAGGATGAGAAACTTGTTTTCCCCCACTTCATAGCACCTACAACCTGTCGTCCAGACATAGTGCTCTTCTCCAAAGAATTGAGAAGAGTTCTGTGGCTGGAACTCACGGTATGTAGTGAAGATCGCTTTGCACAATCGCGCGAAATCAAAATCGAACGCTATCGTCACCTTCATAACGCGTGTGTAAGGAATGGCTGGGAGACGGAAAGTCACACAGCAGAGGTGGGAGCGAGAGGCGCCATATCCACCAGCTTGGATTCCTTCGCGAGATCCTTGCGCTGCACTAAGGAACAGCGCAGGCTCTTGCGGAGGAATTGTCGCCAAGCAGCGCTGAACTCAAGCTATGTCCTATGGCTAAGGCGAAGGGAGCGAACATGGCGCGACTGGCCGTTGTATTAAAACTGTTTGGTGAACCTGTTGTAGAGCACTTGGTGGGCGATCGGCCACCCAGCGAGGATAGTTGGACGTCCTTAAAATCAAGATTTGAACTCGCCATTCCGGCCTCTAAAGGGCCGGGGGTGGACGATCGCCAACCTTGCCAACCTCTCGTAGTCACTTGTTCTTGTCGAATCGTTATTTTCATAGCCTACTCGACATTCGCCCTACAAATTACCATACATCACAACGCAACTACCTGTACATGACACACCATACCATACGGACACAACCACACCCCAACTGTACTGGGGGCCTATCTCTTTGAATTGCATTATATGAGTTTCTTTTTCCTTTTTTCTTTACCCGTTACTGTCTAAAAAGCAGTCGAAACGGTTTTTATCCACCATTTGATGGTGAGCATTTCCCCCCTTCTTCTTCTTCTTCTTCTTCTTCTTCTTCTTCTTCTTCTTCTTCTTCTTCTTCTTCTTCTTCTTCTTCTTCTTCTTCTTCTTCTTCTTCTTCTTCTTCTTCTTCTTCTTCTTCTTCTTCTTCTTCTTCTTCTTCTTCTTCTTCTTCTTCTTCTTCTTCTTCTTCTTCTTCTTCTTCTTCTTCTTCTTCTTCTTCTTCTTCTTCTTCTTCTTCTTCTTCTTCTTCTTCTTCTTCTTCTTCTTCTTCTTCAGCAGAGATGCTGGCCCGAGGGGGCGAAAGCGGCCGGAGCATAACCCTTCCCTGGACTGCCCATCAAGTCCAGACCCTCCACTTATGCCAACTACCCGGGAGAGCTACGGGTCTGGTAGTGACGTGTCAAAGCCGATGGCCGCCCGTAGCTTTTCGAATTCGCAGCTAGGTGGAGTGGTGTGCGATAGGTGCGGAAGCACCCTGAGCCACGCCTACAACTTAAGTCGTCATTATCAGACGAAAAAATGCATCAAATTTTCCGCAGAACCAGGGGCTGCGCCTGCGAGAAAGCAACCAATAGCTGCCGCTGCAGCCAACAACCAAAACAGTTTGAAAGACTGTACTAGTAAAAAGCCATGTCCACATTGCATGAAAAACATATTCAAATCTAACATGGCACGTCACCTTAAATCCTGTAAGGTTTACCTAAGTAAGGGAATTGACATTCCGCTCACCCCTAGCAATAGGAGTGGTAACACGGATGTTGCCAACCCAGT